GTGGCCACCGGAGTTTTGAGGGGTGTGGGGCCGGGGTCGCCCCGGCCACAGGTGGGCGCGGGGAGGCTCGAGGGTGCCGGCCACCTGCCTGCGGGCTGTGGGGGTGGCGCTGGGCCCCGCTAGTTCTCGCACCGCGCTGCCCACGCGGTAACCGAGAGGGTGCCACGGTCCTGCAGGGCTTGGGGCGGCACCCAAAGGAGGGGTCGTTGTCTGAGTGTGAGGCAGCGGCGCAGGGCGAGCGAGGCGTGGATGTGTGAGTGAGTCGGGAGTGGTTGCTCGGATGTAGTGGGCGGGGATCCCCCACAGGGATGGCGCGCGCAAGCTCGCGCGGTGACGGTCTGTCCTCGGCTTCCTCTCCGCTCCCCTCCCCGCCTCGCTTCCCCCCTTGCCAGAGGCCGCCCGGGGCTCCTCTCCGAGTGTTTTCCGAAGGGGCCAGGAGGCCCAGCCCAGTGGGCAGGGGCGATCAGGCTTCGCGCTCGGCGGCCTAACAGGCGACAGGATGCGGCGGCCTGACCACTTCCCGCTCATGTGCCTCGCACGAGAGCGGGCGTGCTGAGCTGGGCTGCGCGCTTTTGTCGGCCTCGACACTGGCGTTTGACCTCCTGCGGATTTGCTGTCGGAGGCCTACTTCTGGGCCAGAAGCAATGCTACTGAACTAAAATGTGATGTCTGTCCAACACTTTGTGGCCCAAGCAAATCGCTTTCGGCCCAAACAGAGCTGATATCAGTTTCAACACCTTTCGCCCGGCGGAGAACCAGCCGGCAAATCGTATACGATACGTTGTCCTGTAGCATGCGTGCAAGGCCTCGTGGGACAGGGCCCAGGTAGTTTCGCCGATCCCAGGTCGATGTTTTCCCCCCTGAGCTGGCCCTCCCCGAACGTTCCCTTTCACCCCACCTCTGGCCCTACCCGGGCTTTGCAACTGTCCTTCGAGCTCGCCGTGCGCGGGTCGGGGGCGGCCGAGGGGGGTGATGCCTTGGGGGGGTGGGGGATAGATATCATGGCCAGGGCCATGATTTCTCCTAGATGTCATGGCTCCCTCTTCTTTCAAGACGTTTCCTCCCCCCTCTCCCGCCGTGCTCAACCCTGTGGCCATGATTTGGTAATCCCCCTCTTGGGCGCCCCCCTTTTGGACGCCCCCGAGCGGGCCCCAAGCCACAGGCACCGCGCGCTCGCATCTTCGGGAGTTCCTGGGGCGGGTGCTGGTTTGTTGGATGGCCGAGGAGCTCATCTCGGGGGCGGCCAACAGAGGGGTTATGCTAGGTGGGTGCATTGTGGCTCGACTTTGTTCGGCCCGAGTCGTGACAGAGCTCAGCCGCCAGCTGGGCTTCTCAAGAGCCCACGGACTGGCGCTAATTCATATCATACACCCACGTACAGTCACCTGATGAAAAACATGTTGCGCCCATCATCTCGAGGAGCACATCAGCCCATCCCATCCGAAACTGAGAAGAGACAGGGGTAGTTGGCCTCTCAGGGTCCTCGTCTCTACGGCTGGACTCGGCTTGGGAATCTTGTGCAATTGAACCTTGGGAGGGTTCCGCGGACCGAATTTGAGTTGTCATTGTTTCAACTCCGCCGACGTGTCTGTCTGGTTCGCCCAGGCCAGACCATGGGGTTGTGCACACAGCGCGTGTGTCCAGGTCACTCTTTCCTCGTCCGTCTTCCTTTTCCTCCCCTCCTCATCCTATTGCGTCTATGAGGCGGGATTGCCTTTTCAAGTGCGACCGCCCTGACCAACCTCCAGGCCCAGGGCCATCGCTAATTATGCTGTCGTCGTGACAGGAATTTAGCCTGACGAAGAAGCTAGCCATGTGCAGTCGCGAGTACCGCATTGCGGGTACCGGTGTCGGTGGAGCTCCGTAGGGAGCCACGAAACGTTGTTTTGGGTCGCGTTGACGCATGCGGCCTGTGCCGCTGGAGCCTTCGGTGGAGCTCCCTATGAGGCACGACACGCTGTCCGAGGTCGCGTTGACGCATGCGGCCGGTGCCACTGGAGCCTTCGGTGGAGCTCTTTGTGAGACCACGAAACGCTGTCCTGGGTGGCGTTGACGCATGCGGCTTGTGCCACTGGAGCCTTGGGTGAAGCTCTTTGTGGGGCCACGAAGCGCTGTCCTGGGTGGCGTTGACGCATGCTGCCTGTGCCACTGGAGCCTTCGGTGGAGCTCCCCATGGCGCCACCAAACGTTGTCCTGTGTGTCGTTGACGCATACGGCCTGTGCCACTGGAGCCTTCGGTGGAGCTCCCGATGGGGCGACGAAACGTTGTCCTGGGTGGCGTTGACGCATGCGGCCTGTGCCACTGGAGCCTTCGGTGGAGCTCTTTGTGAGACCACGAAACGCTGTCCTGGGTGGCGTTGACGCATGCGGCTTGTGCCACTGGAGCCTTGGGTGGAGCTCTTTGTGGGGCCACGAAGCGCTGTCCTGGGTGGCGTTGACGCATGCTGCCTGTGCCACTGGAGCCTTCGGTGGAGCTCCCCATGGCGCCACCAAACGTTGTCCTGTGTGTCGTTGACGCATGCGGCCTGTGCCACTGGAGCCTTCGGTGGAGCTCCCGATGGGGCGACGAAACGTTGTCCTGGGTGGCGTTGACGCATGCGGCCTGTGCCACTGGAGCCTTCCGTGGAACACCCCATGGGGCCACGAAATGCTGTCCTGCGTGGCGGTGGCGCATGCGGCCTGTGCCACTGGAGCCTTCGGTGGAGCTCCCTGTGGGGTCACAAAGCGCTGCCCTGGTTGGCGTTGACGCATGCGGCCTGTGTCACTGGAGCCTTCGGAGGAGCTCCCTGTGGGGTCACGAAGCGCTGTCCTGGGGGGTGTTTGCGCATGCGGCCTGTGCCACTGGAGCCTTGGGTGGAGCTCCCTATGGGGCCATGAAACGGTGTCTTGGGTGGCGTTGACGCATGCGGCTTGTGCCACTGGAGCCGTCGGTGGAGCTCTCTATGAGTCCACGAAACGCTGTCCTGGGTGGCGTTGCGGCCTGTGGGGTGGAGCTCCCTGTGGGGCCACGAAGCGCTGTCCAGGGTGGCGTTGACGCATGCAGCCTGTGTCACTTTAGCCTTCGGTGGAGCTCCGTATGGGGCCACGAAGCGCTGTCCTGGGTTGCGGTGACGCATGCGGCCTGTGCCACTGGAGCCTTGGGTGGAGCTCTTTGTTGGGTCACCAAGCGCTGTCTTGAGTGGCGTTGACGCATGCGGCCTGTGCCACTGGAGTCTTCGGTGGAGCTCCCTATGCGGCCACGAAGCGCTGTCCTGGATGGCGTTGACGCATGCGGCCTGTGCCACTGGAGCCTTGGGTCGAGCTCCCTATGGGGCCACGAAGCGCTGTCCTGGGTGGCGTTGACCCATGCGGCCTGTGCCACTGGAGCCTTCGGTGGAGCTCCCTGTGGGTTCACGAAGAGCTGTCCTGAGTGGCGTTGACGCATGTGGCCTGTGCCACTGTAGCCTTCGGTGGAGCTCCGTATGGGGCCACGAAGCGCTGTCCTGGGTGGCGTTGACGCATGCGGCCTGTGCCACTGGAGCCTTCGGTGGAGCTCCCTGTGGGGTCACGAAGCGCTGTCCTGGTTGGCGTTGACGCATGCGGCCTGTGCCACTGGAGCTTTGGGTCGAGCTCCCTATGGGGCCACGAAACGCTGTCCTGTGTGGCGTTGACGCATGCGGCCTGTGCCACTGGAGCGTTGGACCACGAGAAACGTTGTGCTGGGGGGGTGAAACGCAGGGAAGTGACCAGGCGGATGGGAAGAGGGAGGAGGGGGAGGAGGTGGAGAGGAGAGGAGAGGAGAGGAGAGGAGAGGAGAGGAGAGGAGAGGAGAGGAGAGGAGAGGAGAGGAGAGGAGGCGGAGGCGGAGGCGGAGAGGAGAGGAGAGGAGAGGAGAGGAGAGGAGAGGAGAGGAGTGACGCGGAACGCTGTCTCTTCAAAACGAAGACCCAACACCGCAGGATGGTTGGGAAAAAGTACTCGATGGCGTGGCTAGCTTCCTGAAAAGGGAAACGCTCCAGTCCTTCCGTTTTCCTTGCTTTCTGTCTCTGTGTGTGAGTGGTGAAGATGTGCGTTCGGCAGATCAAACGGAGGAAAACAATAGCAGCGGGGGGTTGCTGCTGTCATTTTCGGCTCAGCCGCGGGCGCGTTTCAGGCCAACCTCAGGGGCAACGTTAGGGAGGGAAATGTTCGGGGGGGAGTAATGCATCCACCCCCAATTGCCCATAGTTGCCCGATAAACCACACCGCTCAAGAGTGTGCTGATTTGCTATTGCGAGCCTAATCGTTGATCCATCGGCGACGTATTGCCGATTCCAGGTCGATGTGCCCCCCCCCCCGAGGTCTTGTCTCCGTTTTCGGCTCTGGCGGGCCCTCACCGGGCCTCGGGGCTGTCAAGCACCAACTCAGGATGAAAAGCCCGTCCCTGGGAAGGGGTTCGGGCTTCGGGGGTCCAGGTCATGAAATAAACACGACGTATGGTCTCTGGCGATCAGGATCGACATCAAGGCCAACTCGCTTTCGCTTCTTCGTCGCCGCCGTCATCGTCGAGTCCCCCTCCCGGGGCGCTCGTCTCGATTGCAGCTCCTCCAGAGGAATAGTTACATTCGGCATCTGCGCTAGAGTATCATTTGTCTGAGCGCCAGTCTAATCCTGCGAAGTCCTGCTTAATTGGCTTCATCCCGCTCAATTTGGCTTCATATTTGATGGTACCTTGCTCAATCGGGCTTGATAGCCCCTGAATCGGAGCTTATTTTGTGTAATCGTTCCCACGGAGAGAGATCTCCCAGAAGCCCGAATAAGAAACAGGTTGCATAACCATACTCTTTTCACGCTCCGCGCAGATTTCTCCGATCGGACTTGGGCCTCTGGCGCCTCCAGGCCGCTCCTGGCGCGCTCCTAGCGCCAGGGAGGGGGGGCCGCGACGTTGACTTACTCGTGCCCGTTCGCGCCCAGGTCGTGGGACCTCTCATGCGAAAGGGGGCCTGGGTCCTTCACTATCCGCTCTCGCGCGCGCTCGCGAGGAACGCGGCCCCGTGGTACCTTACCAGAGCGCTGCGGCGGACCCGCGCCCGCCCCAACCGCGTCCGGCGACTCTGCGGCCGGCCTCTCGCGGCTCTCGCGGCGGGGGTCCGCGCGCTATCGGCTCGGCTCGGCCCCCTCCGAATCCTCGGTGTGGGGGGGAGGAGGGAGACGAGGAGGCGGGGGACGAGGAGGGTCGAGAAGGGTCGAGGAGGGAGGAGAAGGTGGAGGAGGGTAGAGAGAGCGAGGGAGGAGGAGGGCGAGAGGGCGGCCTCGTTCCACAGGTCAAAGACCAGAGTATCGCCTGAATGCGTGACGCCGTTCATTTCGTTCGCGTCACAAGGGCGCTGTGTTGGAGAGGGGGTCATGGCCAGCACGGGGTCATACAGCCTCGTGGGGTCACGGGGCCAGCATGGGGTCACACCAGCTCCTTCGGGGGGTCCCGAGGGCTTCCGAAAGGGGTCGCACAACATGCCCGCCAAAACGGGTGTGTGACCGCCGCAACTTGGCAACGCTACAACATGATCGCGGTCACGTGAATGTTGCGACAGTGCACCCTTCCGCCGTTCTCAGCTCTGTTCGTCTCGCCACGACCAGGGCGGCCCACCCAGGGAAACTTCAGGTTGCGCTCCACCGTGCTGCTGCGCGCTCTCCCGTCCCGAACACCGGCTCCCCGGGAACCTCCATGGCAGCAGTCGGTTCTTGTCCAGGCTTCACGGCATGCGCCGCCGACCCTGAAGGCGGGACCTCCCGGGGGACGATCCGCGTGGACCCGGGGGGGGCACCGTTCTGACCAGGGACCACCCCGCCCCACCACAGGCACAAGCTTCCCTGGGACCCCCGGGGGGACAGGGGAGGGGAGGGGGGACCGCACGGACCCCCAGGGGTGTAGCAATCTGACCCAGGACCCCCTCCCTAAACCCCCCCCGACCTCCACCCCCATACCCCCCGCCGTCAGGGAGGGGAAGGGGGAGATAATCGACTTAACGATGTTTATTGTTCAGCATTCGTTTCTAACGTTCCTTGGGACTGCGACGACGCTGAAGACGACGACAGCGCTTCATTATCCTCATCATTATGTTCAAGGATTTCCCGAGCGAATCGCTTGTTTTGTGTTGTATATGGCTTTCTGTTTGAGGATGTCCCGGACGAACCGCTTTTTTTACAGAATAGAATGAGGATGTCTCGTGCGAAACGTTTTGTCTTATACATTGTTTCTCTCTTGGGGAACAGAATTCAGAGGATGTCTCAGGCGAAATGTGTGTTTTACGTCTGTTTTGCATTTGGATCTGTATTCGGGGAGCGCTTTTCGCTTCCCCCCGCCCCTCAGGAGGCCCTAGGAGGCTCGAGAAGCGTGAAAACACATGGTTCCTAACGCCCCAGGGTGGGACAAGCGTGAAACCACATGGGTTCAACGCCCCAGGGTGGGAGAAGCGCGAAAACACATGGTTTCCTAACGCCCCAGGGCGGGACAAACATGAAAACACATCAGTTTCTAACGCCCTAGGGTGGGAGAAGCGTGAAAACATATGGTTCCTAACGCCCCGGGGCGGGACAAGCGTGAAAACACGTGGGTTCCCAACGCCCCAGGGCGGGAGAAGCACATAGTCACATGGGTTCCGAACGCCCCAGGAGACCCCAGGAGGCTCCAGGATGCCTCACGAGGTCCCAGGAGGCATTGTTATGTAATGGGATCTATGTTCGGGGATCGCTTTCCGCCCCCCTCGCCCCCAGAGGAGGCCCCAGGAGGCCCCAGGATGCATTTTTCTCTATTGGGATACGTTTTCGGGGAGCGCTTTTTGTTCCCACCGCCCCCAGGAGGCCCCAGGAGGCTCCAGGGCGGGACAACTGTGAAAACACATGGGTTCCTGACGCCCCCGGACGGAGCAAGCGCGAAAACATATGGTGCCTAGCGCCCACGGACGGGACATTCGTGAAAACACAAGGGCTCCGAACGCCCCATGACAGGAGACACGTGGAAACGAACGGGTCCTAACGCCCCAAGGCGGGGCAAGCTTGAAAACACATGGGTCCCTTGGCACGTCCCGTGGCAAGCCATTGGCGTGTTCCGTAGCGCGTCCCCTTTGCACGTCCCGCGGTGCGTCCCCATGGCACGTTCCTTGGCACGTCGCCTGGCGCGTCCCCTGGGGCGTTCCGCGGCGGATCCTCCTGGCATGCTCCCCTGTCAATTAGCCCTGGGGCAGCTACTATGTGCCGAGGCAGCACGAGCTTCAGGTCCAGATCAGTTCGGTCAGGACTCGGATGCAAAGGAGGACTCGATCCACAACGCTATAGAGCACAATCGCAGCATGGCACATCGCAGTTCAGCACGGCGCATCACAGCACAGCCCTCGGCACGGTACATAAATATCGATACATTTAGCATTGCAATTTGGCACGTTCCGTGGCGCGTCCCGTGGCGAGTCCCCTTGGCACGTCGCGCGGCGCGTCCCCTGGCACGTCCCGTGGCACATCTATTGGCACGTTCCGTAGCGCGTCCCCTTGGCACGTCCCGCGGTGCGTCCCCGTGGCACGTCCCGTGGCACGTCGCCTGGCGCGTTCCCTGGGACGTTCCGCGGCGCGTCCTCCTGGCGTGTGCCGTTGCCGTTTAGCCTTGGGGCAGCTATTATGTGCTGAGACAGCTTGAGCTTAAGATCCAGATCAGTTCGGTCAAGACTCTGATGCAAAGGAGGACCCGATCCACAACGCTATAGAGCACAATCGCGGCATGGCACATCGCAATTCAGCACAGCACAGCACAGCACAGCCCTCGGCACGGTACATCAAGAGCGATATATTCAGCAGTGCGTTTGTCCGTCGTCAGATCAGGTGTTTTTTATACATTGTCATGCCGTACATCTATGTATTCCTTTCCGGGTTCGTCGGTCGATCATGTTTTAGCGTTCTCAGGTCTCAACCAACAAACTAAACACGCTAAACACATGATGCGTTGTTTTAACGTGTTCAGACATTGTTTTAGCGCTTCCAGCCTGAAAATGCAAACACAACGCCAACACAATGCCAACAACATTGCCCCAACAACGCTAAAGAAACGTATTGCTTTTTTTGTTGTGCGTTTCAGAATGTCAATAACCCAAAATGGAGAACTAACACACATCCTAGGGCGTTTTTCAAGGCGAGCCAGGCTCAACAGGCCCTGGCACTCAGCCGCGAGCCGGTTGTTGTCTGGTCGTCGGGGTTTCCGCGGCGGATGCTTGTCATCTGCGCTGCTGGCCTCAGACAGCCAGCAGGGGCGGTAGCGGGTAAACGCCCGTCTTGCTGGTGTCCGCATGTGGCCCCTGCGATTGGGCACGGGCGGGAAATTCGCACAGCGTGGATAATCCCCGCCCCCCGACCCATAGGCCAGTACTGGACTATTGTCATCATCATTGCGTTTATCGTAATCATCACTATCAGCATCATCAGCATCATCACCACCACTTCCATCAGCATCATCACCACCACCACCACCATCATCATCATCATCATCATCATCATCATCATCAGCATCATCATCATCATCATCATCATCATCATTGGGTGCGCGTGCATGCGGCAGCTGCTTTGCTGTGGCACGAGGTTCTGCAATGGTCCTTCAGGCCTTTTATATGTTGGCGGGCAACTTCAATGCGTTGCAGGCGCGGCATTTCCTCGACACCGCATGGGATGCGCAGGGCGTGGTCCTTGAGCGTTGCCTCTACCCACGACGCGTTCGCAAGGCGTTGCAGGCGTGGCATATCCTTGTCCATCTATCTGTATCCACTTGACGATATCAGTCCTTTGGTCGGTGGAGCGGTCTAATTATTGGGTGGCCCTCACTCCTGGTTGCCACTTCCCAGGACATGGGTTCATCGCTCTTGCGAGGACCTCTCATTAGCTGCCCCCTGATCCAGCACTGCCCGAAATCAGCGGGGGCACACCGCACACAGTTCGGCAAACGCCAGTCCAGCTCCGCCGCACGCAGGCCCCCCTGCGCCCCGCCTGTGAGGGGAGCTTCTCTCGGCATCCGAGCTGGCGGCTTTGGTGCCCCAGACGGCTACCAGAGGCGACCACGAACGTCAAGGAGGTTTGTTTCCCCCCAGTCTGGGTCAGGGGCTGCGGCCCGCAGGCCAAGGGGTGTTTCAAGCGAGGCGTTCGAGTTGTTCGAACTGCTGGTAGGCCCGCACTCGATAGAAATACACCGCTGGGGCGCAGACGTGTCATCAGAGGGGTTGGCAGTTGTGCGTCAGCAGCGCCCCGCTGGCAGGACGCGTTGATGGAGGTGACCCGCAGGACCCGCTCCTCTCGAACTCGGCATCACTGTTCCTGTCGGGGGTGAGGACTGGGAGGGTGTGGATATGGTTGGCCAGTGCCATGTATTTTCAGATTTAATGGCCAAGTCTTCTTCTTTTCCATTGGTTGTATTATTATTCTTTCTCTTTCAATGCGTTCCATAGACCCCTCTTCTCGTCCGCGCGCATGTCTCGGGCCATGATGGGCCAATCCCCCCGCACCGTGCTCCTTCTCTTGGGAGCACCCGAGCTTGCCAGGTACTTGAAGGTCGGTTAGGACGCCAAGTGGAAGCAGGGGCACGACAGCACGTCCGACGGGTGTTTTCATAGCGAACGTTCGCTCACACCGTTCATGGAACCGTTTGCAGGTCAGAGTGTGAAGAGCAGGAACTTCCGCTCATTCTCTTCATCCTCTGTCCGAACCATGGAGTTGTCAGTTATTTTACGGCGAAGTGCAAAGATAGCAGGACGTCATCATTTGTCACGCTAGCAGTTCATCATGTTGACCTAGCTGTATGTCGTCCGTGGCGCTCGCTTTGCATTGAGTTTCCAACTCTTTATGTTGTCATGCGCTTCTACGGTGAAACATGCTGAGGGCATCATTAGGTGCCTTGCTTCGTCGATGCAGCGTCGATGTGACCATGGCGAACGTACGTCGTCCTCGATGTTCCATAGGGTGCAAAGTATTGTTGAGAGTTGTGGGCGGAGTAGTTGTTTCCTGTATCGACCGTCTTTGTTTAGTGATGTGTGTAGTGAAGTGCGCAGGCTGCGCCGCGCGCTTGCAACATCAGCTTCATTTCGATGATCCTTTCTTGGGACCTACTTTGGCCTTTGGCGCGTTCGAGGTGCATCTTGAGCCGAAGAACACGTGAAACGAAACTCACAGCATGATGTCAACGCTTTACGCTCGTTCAGGTTGTCTGGATATCCTCCTGGCTCCGTGCTTCGGGCTGCCCCGTGCGCTCCATGGGGCAGCGTTGGGCTATCATGCCAGGCCCTCTTTTCCACTGTGGGCACTTGTTGCCGACCCAGTCAGCCATCTAGGTCGTTTCCTCCGTCGGGTATTGCCAGAGGTGTTCCTGGCCCAATGTGTTCCCAGGATGTTCATGGAGGCCCCTTGCGGCCTTCAGAGTGTGGCATGCTGTGTCGTTTCCTCTCTCCTCTTTTCTGCTTGTCCTCCTCCGCCGTGCCAGCAGGTAGTGATAATCTGTGGCTCGAATATCGGCCACGCGGCCTGCACGGCAATGATTCATTGGCTTACTCCGCACCGCCGACCCTTTTGGGCGGCAGCAAGAGTGAAAGACGGAGTTTGTGGAACGTGCGCGATCGCTGGGCAATCTTGGGGTTTCGGCCTGTCTTACGTAGCGCGTGGGGTTCACGGGTCTTCACGGGCTTATGTGGGCTTATGTGGGCTTCTTGGGGCCTTCACGGGGCCTGTCCCAGGCCTCCTTTTCCACCCCCTGGATAGGCTCGGGGATCGTTGAGACCCAGCTGGAGGTGCGTCCGGCCAGAAGTTCGAGAGTGGACCCAGCTGCGTCGACATTATCAATGCGGATGTGTTTGACATGGAGACTGGAGCGGTGGAGAACCGAGCTAAGCGACAGGAGTGGCGCCGCTGTGACCGCGAGAAGATGGAGCACATCGGGGTCGAGGTTGTGCCTGACGACGAGGCGGCCCCTGCCGCACCTTCCAGGGGTTTGGCGAAGTTGCGCGCCGCCATCTTAGCACTGCGGAGTACACTTGGAAGTTTGAGAGCGAGGTTGAGGGCTGCGGAGGCGCGCGTCGAACCCTCGCGGCTCTGGCGCGCGCCAGCGTTCACGGCCCCGCCCGCGGATGCCGCCCCCAAGTTGACGTCCGGGATCCTACGCGCTCGATGTATGTGGCGGGCCCTAGGCTCTGGACGCCCGAAATGGTACGGAAAGAATGGGTACAATGCCCAAGAACAGGCCTGTGTCCATTCGAGACAGAAGGCCGCCTGCCCAACAGCGGCCGCTGTTGGCTTGGGACAACATTTGTTGTTGGGCATAGTGCCCATTCTTTCCGTACCCATTTCGGGCGTCCAAATAGGCAGGTCATGGGCTTTGCACATTGGCCACCGAACCCTATGCTCGAGCCGGCTGATGAGCATCCAGCGCCTGACGGAGCGGGGTTTGGAGACGAACCCGTGGACGGATAAGAACATCAGCGACCTCCTCAAGCGCGTGGGTTTGGTGCACGAGGGGTTTTGCCGTGAACGTGGAGTCCGATTTGGATAGGAAACCAAACAGTGCGGCGTGGGGTTCCAGAAGTTCTGCAGGCATGGACGAGGATGCTGGAGTGGTGGGGTTAGCTCTTATCTGATGCATTGCGTGCTGCGTGTCGCGCGTGCGCCCTGCGCCTGGCACGGCGCGTTCGAAATGACTACGGCCGCACGCTTGGCGGTCGCATTCCTACGTGGTGCCGTGAAGTATCTCACCAGAACCCAGGACGACGAACAGTTATTTCCGCATTGTCTTGTGCGTGGCGTCGTTTTCTGGTTTTCCGCGCAACGCGGTGTTAGGTGCATTGCCGATTCGGAGAGTTCTCAGTGAACGATCCGGTGTGCTTTTAGATTGATGGAAGGACTAGCCGCGAGTCTCGTGGTCTTCTGCTTGAAGTGCCTTCGCGTTCATCGTGTCGTTGAACGCCGAAGTGATCTCATGGTCATGATGGTCAGCACGCGACCCCACTACGTGTCGACGGTGACTAGCCGACTCATGGAGCACAGCCGCGAGCGACGATACCATGCTTGATTGTTGTCATAGTTGTCGGCTTCATTTAGAGTTGCAAAAGTAATCGCGCCAACGATCATTTCTTTGCGCGCGATTTCTTGGTCTGGTTGAGCCTGCGGTATGTCCATGAGAAGGTATAGGGTCTTCTTGCTCTGATGCATGGACTGAAGAAGCAGTCGATGAAGCTTTTCACCTTCGAGGCCAGTTACTTGTTGTGCTCTCCTTGGGTATTGTGGTGTTGTTGTCGGATACTGGTTGAGTCATCATCTGATATCTACTATGGTTATCATCCGAGGCTTTAGCCCGCGCTCGGTTGTCTGATGCGCAACTACGCGCGTTGTCATGTCGAGACCATCGAGCAGTAGCCCCCCGACGGCACCTCCGAGGCCGTCCTGGCGATGCCGGGCGTGGAGTCTCGTCTCGGCGTCGAAGGGGGATCGCGGGCACGTTCTCTTCGCTGCGCATGTGCACTCAGTGTGTTCCTTGGGTGGCGCATGTTCGCGCGCGCCGCTGGCGTGATCATCGCGCCCAGGGCGATGGCTCAGCGTTGCATCTCGCCTGCGGGGCATGAGCAGGAGGTGATAAACGTCAAGTTGTTCGTGCCGCCCGACCCCGCGGAGTTCGTCGATGACGCTTACGAGGGCGACTCATCCCACATTCTTGGTCATGATTGCGCTGGGGAGGTGCTCTCGACTCCAGGCGCGCCATCTACGCACTGTTGTTTAGCGCAGTTTTCCTCCCAGGACCTCCACGAACCGCTCGTGGGAGTCGGGGGTGAAGGAGGGGCCAGAGCAATCAAGCGGCGCTCCACGGGGGCGCAGTCTCTGGCGCAGCTTGCGGAGGTGGTCGCAGCCGTCCAGAAGCACATGGGCGCGCCCGCCAATGGTGCATCTATATCACAGACCGCGAGTGGCGCGAGGCAACCACAGAGGAATAATACGACGCAGAAGGACCTCCCGAACGCCAGCCGCCCACGCAGGCGGCTGGCCCACGCGGACGAGAGGAGGGGGAAGTACGCGCGGGAGATGGTGATCCAGAAGCTGAGGGAGGTCGTCGGCACCATCGCGGCGGGCGAGCAGAGCGAGCCCGGCAGCGAGACGACGTCGACCGCGACGATGGACGAGCTGACGGCGGAGCCTTGGGGCACGGCGACCCTGGCTCACGGCTCAACGGCGAGGGCGAAGCTGGAGACGGCGACCGGCACCCTGGCGATCCTCGCTTCCACGGCTGCCGAGGGAGGTGGTGGAGAAGCTCCGCCGAGCCCGTGGCAGCAGGACGAGCATCGCGACGGTGTTCCTCGACCCTAAGGGCGATGGCGCGGTCCTCCTGGCCGGGGCCCGCGGCCCCCGCAAGGCGCGGGCGCGGCTTTCTCCACGCAGGCCCAGATGCGCCCAAGCGCTTCGGCCTGGGCCCGGAGCTCGAAGACGATGAGGAGCTCCCCCAGGAGAAGCCGCCCCTCGCCACTTTTCGCATCGCGGTGGCGCAGGGGCACGTGGATGTGCCGCTCTACGCCAAGATCGATTGCGAGCCACAGGCGCTACCAACCATGGCCTTGAACGAGGAGCTCGCTTCGAAGGTCGCGAGGGCGCGCGGCGCCATCGCGCACGGGGCAGAGACGACGCAGTTGTCAGCGTGCCTTTGAGCCTGGAGAAGGAGATGTCCGAGACGATTCCTCCCAGCGGAATGTTCAAGAAGCGGGCGGTCACTCCGACGCCCGAGTGCCTCGTGCGCCGCGACGCCGAGACCCCGGGGGAGCACCTCCAGCGGGTCTGCGCCCTGGTGGAGGAGAAGTGGGATATGTTGGTGCATCGGCCTTTCGGCAAAGCCCAGCGTGGCGCGGTGGGCGCGCGGACTCGGGCAGCCGCGCCCGTCTCCATCGAACCGACGAAGTATAAGCTCAAGCATGCACTTACAAGCTGGACGACTCCAGTGAATGCCGTTGGCTGGGCCAACGATCGCCGGGTCTCGCGTGCGAGCGATGCTGTCAGAGCAGGGCCGAGGGCCTTGATCTCGTCTGCCGAACCGCCGGCGGGAGTTGTGGCTACTATCTTCGGCTTCACCAGCGGGATCTGAGTCGCGCGCGCCGCGCGTGCGTCCAGGCCGGAGCGCGCGGGGGGCGCGGCACCCGCGCGCAGCGCCCGGGGGGCCCCTCGGCCTCGCGCCCAGAACATTGAGGCTGACCGGGAGGAGGCGCCGCCTACTCGGAGCGAGGCTGCCCTGCCCAGGCTGACTCCAGCGAGGCCGCGCTCGT